GAACATGATGAAAAAGTCAAAGCATACTGGTACCAGAAAGACAGCACGACAAGAAGAAACAATAGATCTACAAAACAGCCAGGAACAATGAACAAAATGGCAATAGTAAGTCCTTAACTATCAATCATTACTTTAAACATAAATGGATTAAATTCTCCAATCAAGACACAGAATAGCTGAATGGATCAAAAATTTAAAAAGATCCAAAGATATGCTGCCTACAAAAGACTCACTTTAGCCTTAAAGACTCACATAGACTGAGAACGAGATGATGCAAAAAGATATTTCAAGCAAACGGTAGCCAAAAAAAAGCAGGAGTAACTATACTTATATCAGACAAAATAGATTTTCAACTAAAAATGGTAAAAAGAGACAAAGAAAGTAATTATATAATAATAAAGGGGTCAATCCATCAAGAAGGTATAAAATTATAAATATGTATGCACCTAACATCAGAGTACCTAAATATATAAAGCAAAAACTAAGCGCTAAAAGGAGAAATAAACAATACAACAACAGTTGGGGACTTTATTACCCCACATTCAATAATAGGTCATCCGGAGAATCAATAAAACAGATGTGAAGGACACGAGACCAAACGGACCTAATAGACATATACATTATATCCAACAACAGCAGAATACACATTCTTCTCAAGCGCCCATGGAATATTTTCCAGGACAGACCATATGTTAGACCACAAAGTCTTGGCAAGTTCAAGAAGACTGAAATCACACCAAGTATCTTCTCTGAACACCCTGTTATGAAACTAGACATCAATACAGGAAGAAACCAGAGAAATTCATGAATACATGGACATTCAACAACACTCTCCTGAGGGCCAAAGGAGAAATGAAAGGGGAAATAAAAAAGTATCTTGAGACCAACTATTGGGTTGTCAGAAAAGTCAATGGCATTTTTGCAACAAAAAACAGAAAAAAATACGTCATGACTTCCGACAACCCAATAAAATGGAAACACAACATACCAAAACCTATGGGATACAGCGAAAACAATTCAGAGGTAACCGTTCATAGCAATAAACACCTATATTGAGAAACCAACTTCGTACTGTGACAGATGGTAACTAGACTTATCATAGTGATCACATCATAAGGGATGTTGAATTGCTATTTTAGACTCCTGAAACTAATAATACTGTATGTCAACTACACTTTAATTTTTTAAAAAGTAAGCAATTAAAAGAAAATCTCAAACAACGTAACACTGTGTTTTAAGGAATTAGAAAATGAAGAACTGAGCCAAAAATTAGAAGGAAATAATGGAGATTAGGGCAGATGAATGAAACAGAGAACAGGAAGGCAATAGAAAAGAGGAACAAAACTGACAAACCTTAGCTACATTAACCAAGCAAAAGAAATGACCTGAGTCAACAAAAATATAAATGAGAAAGACATTACAACTGATACCACACAAAGGATCATTAAGAGGCTCCTAGGGGCCGACCGGCCAAGTGGCTCAGTTGGTTGAGAGCTTACTCAAAAGAGTGAGCTCTGAGCAAAAGCGATTTGATGCCTGGCCCAAGCTGAGCTGCCGCTGAGCTGCCAACAGGTGGCAGGATGGCTCAGTTAAAAAAAAACCACCACAAACTAACAAAAAAAAGAGGCTCCTATGAACAACTATATAACAAACATCCGGATAACCTAGAAGAAATGGAAAAATTCTTAAAACAACCCACCAAAACTGATTCAGGAACAGAAAATCTGGGCAGATAAATTACTAGTAAGGAGACTGAATCAGGGTTCAAAATCTCCCAACAGAGAAAGCCCAGGACCAGATAGATGGCTTCACTGGTGAATTTTACCAAACATTTAAAGGATGAATGCCAAGTTGTTCCAAAAATCAAAGATGAGGGAGCATTCCCAAACTAATTTTACAAAGCCAGCATTACCCTGATACCAAAGCCAGAAAACAAAACTACAGGCCAATATCGCTGATGAACATAGACGCAAAGAATCTCAATAAAATGCCAGCAGACCGAATTCAGCAACACATTAAAAGGATCATTCACCATGATCAAGTGGGATTTATTCCAGGGATGCAAGAATGATTCAACACCCTCAAATCAATCAATGGTACACCTCATTAACAACATGAAGGTTAAAAATCATGATCATCTGAATAGACGCAGAGAAAAAGCATTTGACAAAATTCAACATCCATTCGTGATAAAAACTCTTAACCAAGTAGGTATAGAAGGAATGTACCTTAACATAATACAGGCTATTATATATGACAAGCCCACAGCTAACATCATGCTGAGTGGTGAAGAAAGGCTGCAAGCTTTTCCTCTAAGATCCGGAACACTCTCACCGCTCCTATTCAATTCAGTGGTGGATGTCCTACCCAAGAGCATTCAGGCAAGAAAAAGAAATAAAAAGCATCAGAATCGGAAAAGAAGTAAATTTGTCTCTATTTGCAGATGACCATTTTATACACACAAAATCCTCAAGACCACCAAGAAACTGTTAGCTCTAATCAATAAATTCAGTAAAGAGCCAGGATATAAAATTAACATACAAAAACTGGTAATGTTTGTCTACACTAACAATTATCTGAAAAGAAAAAAAATGATCCCATTCACAATAGGATCAAAAACAATAAAATACACGGGAATAAATTTAACCAAGGTGGTGAACGATCTCTACACTGAAAGCTATATAAAGCGATGAAAGAAATCAAAGAAGATACAAATAAATGGAAAGGTAGGTATCCCTGTGTGCATGGATTGGGAGATTTAATATTGCTAAAATTTTCATATTACTCAAAATCATCTGTGGATTCAATGCTATCTCTATCCAGACTCCAAAGGCATTTTTTATGAAAGTAGAAAACACAATCCTAAAATTTATATAGTAGCACAAAAGACTCCAAATAGCCAAAGCAATCCTAAGAAAGAAGTACAAGGCAAGAAGCATTATACGTCCTAATTTCAAGGTATAGTATAAAGCTGTAGTAATCAAAACAGTATTGGTAATGGCATTAAGACACCCACCAATGGAACAGAATTGAGCCCAGACATAAGCATATGCGTATCTAGTCAAATAAAATTTCTCTATTGAGTATTCTTGGCTCCCTTAATAAATGGTGCTGGGAAAACTGGATATTCACATGGAAAGAATAAAAGTAGAGCCTGGCTTATACCACTCACAGAAATTAACTCAAAATGGATTAAAGCCTTGAATGTAAGACTGAAAACCATAAAACTCCCAGAAGAAAACATAGGCAGTAAGTTCCTTGACATTGGTCTTGGCAATGATTTTTTTTTTTTTGCACATGACACCTAAAGCACAAGCCAGCACATCAAAAAATAATTGGGATTACATCGAACTAGAAAGCTTCTACACGGCAAAATCAACAAACAAAATACAAAGACAACCTACGGAATGGGAAAACATATTTGCAAAATCCTTATCTAATAAGGGGTTAATACCCAAAATATATACAGAACTTATATATAACTCATTAGTGTGAAAATAAATAATCCAATTAAAAATGGGCAAAGGGCCTGAATAGACATTTTTTTCAAAGAAGTTATACAAATGGCCAACAGACACATGAAAAGGCGCTCATCGTCACTAATCATGCAAATCAAAACCACAGTGAAATATCACCTCATGCCTGTTAGAATGGCCATCATCAAAAAAGACAAGAGGTATCAAATGCTGGTGAGGATGTGGAGAAAAGGGAACCCTTACACAGGGCTGCTGGGGCTGTCAATTGGTACAGCTGCTATGGAATACAGTTATGGAGGTTCCTCAAAAAATTGAAATTAGGACTACCATATCCAGCAATTCCACTTCCGGGAATATATCCAAGGGAAATGAAAACAGTATTGGGAAGAGACATCTGCACCCCCATGTTCACAGCAGCTTTAGTTACAACAGCCAAGACATGGAAACAAGCTAAATGTCCATCAATGGATGAATGGATACAGAAGTTGTGATACACATACACACACACACACACACACACACACACACACACACGATGAAATATTACTCAGCCATAAAAAAGGAAAGCCTGCCATTTGAGACTGATGGACCTAGAGGGTTTTATGTTAAGTGAAATAAGTCAGTCAGGGGAAGACAAAAACGGTATGACCTCACTTATACACGAATTATGAAAAAGAAAATAAAAAGAAACCCAAACTCATAGAAAAAGAGATCAGATTTGTGGTCACCAGAGGCAGGGGGAGGCGGAGGGGAAACTGGGAGAAGGTGGTCGGAAGGTACCCACTTCCGGTTGTAAGATAAGTAAGTACTGAGGATGCTGTGTACAGCTAACGCTGCTGTGTGGCGTATATGACAGTTGTCGAGAGAGCAAATCCCAAGTTCTCAGCATAAGGACAAAAACATTTTTTCTTCTTTTTCTCTTGTATCTAGATGACGGATGTGAACTAAACTCGTACTGTGGAAATCATTTCACAACATATGTAAGTCAAATCATTATGCTGTAAGTACACCTTAAACTTACACAGTATGCATATGTCCAATACATCTCAGTAATGTCTCAGGGCCACATCATTCTCCCTCCATCAACCCCAGGCAGCCTTCACAATGAATGCAGAGGCGGTTTAAAGAGCTATACCTTCCTGGGGGTGGGGCCTGGGTGACCCCGAGACCTGCTGAGACTCTGCAGCCTTGGATCCCCGAGTGCAGACACCCTCGCCTTCCATAATGTTAAGTGCTGTAGTTCAACCAAAAGGACTGAAGACTATAACAAATCGAATCATTTACTTATATACTAACTCCGAAAAGATACTAAAAATGTAGTACTAGGTTGGTGCAAAAGTAATCGCGGTTTCTGCCATTACAAATAATGGCAAATTACTTTTGACTATAAGGTCACAATTACTTTTGCACCAACCAATACAATACATAGAAAACGAGCTTCGTGGCATCTTGTCTATAGACCTAACAAGACAATTTTAAAGCACGTTCTGTAGACCAGTCAGCCGGACTGTGCTGGTTCCCACTTTCTGTTCTCACCTGTTGGGGTAACCTGGGGTACAAGCCTGGACAGGCCCCATCCCCTGGACATAGCAGACGCCTCCATCTTCGCCAACACTGTCCCCCATCTTTTCGTTCTTGATTCTCAACCCCCAAGTTAAAAAAAAGAGGAATCAATTTTCCTTCACAGAAGAAATGATTTTATTCCATTCGAATAAAGGAAGGATATGGTTGTTCATTCTTTGCCTGGCAAGTCGTTTCCCCATATGACTCTGAGCCCCGCCTAGTGAAAGGAATGATGTCACATAGAGAAAGCTGTGGCCCTCAGGGAAACAGTGAACAAACATGTGGCGGAAAAGCATTCCAATAATCAAAACGCTTCCTGTACCAACGGTTCCCACGTTCACTTTATCCTGAAGACCATTTTGGTTTTGACGACCACATTTAATTTTGAAGATACTTTAATTTAGTCATTGAACCCAGGGCGAATCATTTGTCACCAAACTGAGAGGAGAGGGACATGGGAAGTCCCTCTCAAGACCTCCTCTGCCATACTCCCATGCTCTTACATGAGACCTCAGTTTATCCTTCGGCCTCATGAGCAAAGCCCTAAGCCATGCCCAAAGCTCCGCATTCTCCTTCCTGGAGACAGGCGTCTCTGAGGCTAAGCCACTAACCTAGTTCCACTCCTCAGTGGGACCAAGGTGGGCTCCTGCCACAGCAGGCTCTCAGCCAGCCCGCCCCCCCGGCCCCCCGCAGGTCCTCAGAGACCAGCCCATGACCCCTCTGCAGTCCCTGCACCGAGCACTACTGCTGCCCTGAATGGGAGCCCGGCAAGCCTCAGGCTGGCAGGGGTCAGGCCCCTCTTTCTACGGCCGTTCACAAGGGTCACCTCTCAGCCCTCCATTAAGAGTCTGGTCTTCGAACGTTATGAGCTCCACTGTACAAAGTGTCATTCACCCCCAAAACACAGACCCCTGTTCTCACCCTATGGCTCTAGAAATCCTCAGAATGGAATCGGGGAGACAACAGGAAGCCCCCCACTCTTCCTGCACCACCCCGCCAGGTGTGCATGGGGCTGCTGGTCTTGGCAATGCCGGGCCCGCGACTGTGTGGCCTTAGAAGCGTCCCATGGTGGCACCTCGGCGATTGTCACTCATCCTTCTCGCTACTCAGCTCCTGACACTGACCACCAAGCACTCCTTCCAAGAGTACTGACAGGGCATCCAGTCAGCGACTGCTGTGGGGGTGTCCTCAGGTGAAAGTGGGCAACAGCCCCCAAATGTCCTGGCCAGGAGGTGCTGGCCACACCATGCAGCAGCGTGACACACCCGTATGTCAGACTAGGGAGCTCTAAAAGCACAAGGATCAGAATTACTGTTTGCTCAGTATTATAGCAATTAGGATTTGGGGTGTTTCCCATTTTAGCAGTGACCCTGCCTCAAAAAGACTAAATGGTGGGGCAAAAACAAAGCAGGATGTTACTGTTACTGTAGTCTGGCACGCTCTAGAACTGGGTGACGTTCACCACTATCGGACAGCATGACACCTTTGCCAGAGAACACCATTTGACAGAGCCTGTCATCCCTCCACAGCAAGCAGGAGACACTGCCAACAGCCAGGCGACCAAAGCCGACCCCAGGAGCTCCCATGCCACAGGTCTGTTTGCCAAGGCCGTGCCTCTTCATCCGAGCACGTCCAACCTGGGGGCGCACACCGTGCTACTGTGAAGACACTCATGGCCAGTCCACTATGTGCGAAGAAACGGCATCTGTCACGTGTATATGCCTCTGATCACACCTTTCCGGATGCAGGAGGCTGAGGGTGCTGCCATTTTGGCTCCGCCATCCTGGATTAGGTGAGGCTATTTATTAGGGTGAATGGTACTTGAGAACACACTGGTGGCTTCTGAGACGTGTCCATGTGTCACAAAAGTGAATGCAGCACCCTAGGACGTGGCCATTGTCAGCTGACACACAGCAGGGGCCCAGCTACAGCCCGGCTCAGCAGAAACCACCACAGCTAGTTGCCCACCCAGGGGGTTTGCCTGAACTGGCTTTCGGGAGAGGGGATGGCCGGCACCGCAATCACCAGTTTGGGGGTGTGCCCCACAACTGCGCTCATTGCCATCGAGCCATTGGGGACGGCAGTTGTGTTCAAGCTACTAGGGATCTCGCCGGTGGCTTGCATTTTAAAATAGACCAAATAAAACACTGGTAAAACAATCCCAATAAGAAGCATGATGAAAACAGCATTCCACCACTGAATGCCGCAGTCGGCCCCATTTGTCGGTGTCTTTGGAGGAGCGGGGAGGAGCGGCTGGCCGGAGGTCTCTCCGCAGTAACTCTCATGTATAAAGATTTCGGACTGCACGGCATGCTGGATATTCTGGTCAATGCCCTTAAAGAAAGCCGTCAGCGGGCTGGACGGGGCGCTGGCGCTTACGGTCGCTCGGGCTGGGTCTGGCAGCTCCTCAAAGGTCACTCTGGTCTCTGATGAGGTGCTCAGGAGGGGTCTGAGCTCCTTCTGGGTCTCTGTTAGGATCCCATGGATTTTCACTGGAATCTTAATAGACTTCAAAGCATATAAGTCTTGTTCTCTGATGAAGTTGTTGGCTTTCTTGATATCTGCGACCTAGGGGAGCCATGGAGACAAACATCACGACATACACAGAGCTCCGCGGAACTCATAGCCAAAGAGTGCCTCTTAACCTTTCCTGGTGGTGGTCCAAGCCCCGCCCACCGCTTAAGAACCTGCTGCACACTGAAAACTGCGCCTATCCATAGGATTAGTTTAGGCTGAAGAACTGTGTTTTTTGGCTTCAACTCAGCCTTAATATGCAGCTTTGTCATCAAACTTTCCTATAGATTTACAAGTTTGAACAATTTAAGATCCGTTTTGGAGAAGACTTGTTTGTTTCAGGTGTGACTGCAACAAAATGCTTTCAGGTGAAACACAACCATGGCTATAGAGAGAACGCCTTCGCCCTTTCTACTTCTTGTAACTTTTGATGCAACAGTGCCGCCGTCTGGCTGACCTCCTTCCCGTGCCATGCAGTAAGCATTAGTAGTGATGAGCAAACACAAAGCCTTAGTGGGCAGGACAGACGCACAGAACCTCGTTTACCAGGGTAAATAACATTTTAAGGGGCGTGCCCTCATGATTATACCATGTTTTCTTTTTCAGAGGTGTTGTATGGCATACAAACTTATTTTTTTTTCAAATCAAAGGTACCTAGAGTTAATTCACTTTGAAGATTTCACAACACTTCTTAGGATAATTAGAAACATGTAGGGAATCAAGTTGAAAACTATGGACTGAAATTCTCTATTGCAATATTAGGACCAGAGGAGAAAGGAACGCCATTGTGAGTTTTATAAAGTAACAAAGCTCATGACAAACTCCTCCCATAATCAAACCCTAAGATTTAAGAAGGAGGGGGGAGAGAAGTGTTAAGTCAAAGATAAACCCTTCCTCAAAATAATGTTTCAAAACTTACTGAAAGCATCAGAGATGGGGACTCCAGTTTTAACTTGTAAGTCCACTTAAAGAGTGTAACTAAAGCCAACAGACCTTTACATAGAGCCTTATTCAAATCAGTCATCTCCATTATTTTAATTTAAAACCTGTTTTTAATCATCTAATTAAATTGGGGTGGGGGACATTTTAACTTTATTATGTCCTGAAACTAGAGCATATAAGGTGCTTGAGATCTTTCTGCCTTTGTCCCTAATAAACTAACATCAAACTTTACTTTAAAAACTGATCATTTATTGGAGGTGTTACAATCTTCACAGATTTATTAAACATCACCATGCCACGAAGCCCACTGCACCTAGCCAGGTCTTTGTAGGGTAGGGTTCATTTTTCAGCTCATGTTCTGTAAACCATACAATATGCCTACAGAAGCTGATTATAAGAGTCAAATATATCTCAGTACAATTTAAAGATCCCACTGTGTGTCCCTGGCTGGAAGCCAGTCTGTTTATTTCCCTGGAGAAACAACATAGCACCCCACACATGTGTTTAACCATTTTAAATCTTGTTAGATAAACGACAGATGCTTTAAGGAAAAGACGTTTAAAATAAGTTGCTTAGAGAGCCTTCGAGAAAGCCATAGAAAGTTGTGGCATGGTGTTAGCAAAATGAAATTGTTTCAAACCCGGAGAAAATGCAGCAAAGCTATAAACATTTCCTACTTACTTTGCCATTGGTAATCACTCTGAATGCCAAAAACAATTAAAGAGAGAAACAGTGTTATACAGATAACCAGCACACAAAGGCTAAGATCATGCAGCTTCCAAAAGACAGAAGGGAAGAAAAAAATGTTACCAATGAGGTAAGTTACAACCAGCAAGAAAGGGTCAAAAAAAGAGAAGTAGCCAAAAAAGCAAGCATACCAAAGAAACCTTGGATAATTTCTCCCTGACATCTCTGGCCCCCATTAGGTCTTAAAATGTGCTCAAAAAAAAGTTTCAGAATTTCAGTTTGGAGCAGCGAATGACCCTTTCACAGGGGTCGCCGGGTACTCGTATGTGGGCGTATCTGCATGTGGGCCTGGAGACCGATAGAGGAGCGGTGTCTCGGTTCCTAAGACCATTGAAAATACGTGTTTTCCGATGGTCTTAGGCGACCCCTGTGAAAGGTTGAGAACCACTGGTTTGGAGGGATGGAACCAGCCTTATCACCTGAGTGAGATTCGCTCTTTAGGACCCAGAATTCAGACCAGAAAGTACTTCCACCTGCCTTCCATCAAGAGGCCTCTCCCAACCACCCGTGGGGGTCACGCCTCCGTGACTACCTGTAAATGGACAGGGGCTGAGGGATGGGCGGCACCTGTGGGTGTCTTACTTGGCAGCCATACTGAAGAGCGAGCTTGTTGAGGCTGTCCTCCTGGGCCAGCTCCCGCTGCAGCAGCACCACGTTCCCTGCTCCCGGCTGCTGAGGGTGGTGGGCACTCTGCTTCTGGCGCTCCTTGCCCCGGGGCCGCAGAGCCACACGGTGGGACTCTTCCTCTGAGGAGTCCCCTGAGTCCCCACTGCCATTCTCAAACATGTAAACTTGGCTGGTCGGAGTCCTACAGACCCTGGCTGGGCCTTGGAAGGTCTTGGTTAACATTCCCTTGTGCCTCATTTTCTTAACTGAAAACCAAACCCCAGGGTTAATTCCACACAAAACATTAAAGTGAAGCGTCTTGTTAGAGGTCCTCTTTTCCCTAATCATTGTAAATACTGAAAAAATACCATCAGCACAAAACAGAAGGGGTTTATGCTGAAATGGAAAGTGAGAGGCAAATAAAAACACCATTTATCTTCTAATTGCATTATTTTGCGCAGAACGCAAAAGGACCCCCCTTCTCCCCTTATTCCTCATCCACACCTGTGTCTCCCCCAAACCCACATATATAAACAACTTTGCGGTCTCCAAGTAGTAAATTAGTAGCTGGGATCCTTGCACTGAGAATCTTAATTCAGAACCATTGTACAAAAAAATTCTCGTTCAACTTTACACATTTCAAAGTATCGTCACTAAGGCCACTTGCTTAGAAAAACTAAGAGTAAAATACTTTGATTTTGAAACAGCTTAAATGATATACTGTGTAGGGTGCGTTAGGGGAAAATTCCTGCCAACGTAAGAAATTCGTCCAGTTTCTCACAAGCCCCTTTGCCTTCATTACATCCGATGTCTGGTTGTGATTTTCGCTTTCAGCCAAGTGCAAAAGCCACCATATCCCTTTTCCCCTCTCCAAATTGACCGAATCAGAGGCCAGAAATGAAATCTCCAATATGGGAATGACAGCCGCAAAAAGAGTTGGCGTCCCGGCCCTCCGGAGCCACAGGGAAGCGACCCTTTCATGGAGAACCCGTGGACCCGGCGCGACCCCTCCCCTACCCGAGTGGGTCGGCTCCCAAACTCCCTCCTCCGCACTCTAGAGCCCCCCGCCGGCCCAGAGGAGGGAGGCGGCGGCCCGACATTGGGGCCGCGCCTTCGGGGCCTGCAGGGGATACGGGCGGCTCCCAGGCCTCAGTTTCCCTCAGTCTCCCTGCCGTGAAAGGAGGGCCCCCAATCACGAGTGGACACAAAATATAAAAAACAAAAAACGGGGAGCGGCCCGCCTCTGCGCTTAGACAGGCTGGATCCCAACATTCCAGAAAGGAACGACCTCTGACCTCCAACCCCAACAACCTCAGGCCAGCCCTCGATGGTCGCGGTCGCCGCACCTGCAACTGCAGGAGGGTGGCCACCCCCGGGGCAACAAGCGGGGTTAAGTCACGGCGTCCCCAGTAGACCGCGTGGCCCCCAACCCAGGACCAGGACCCCCGCCAGCAAGCCCCGGTACCTCAGTTCCCAGGATTCGCCGCGACCCGCAGCAGCCACTGCTCCACGTGCCGATTGGCTGCGAAAATCAGCAGGTCTCGGGGGGCGGAGACAGCGAAAGCAGCCAATGAAATCAGCGGTGGGCGGGCACTGGAACGAGCCCGACTGTCCTGAGAGGTCAGCGCAGGACCTGCAGGAGCGCGGCCGAGGGGGCGAGGCTCAGGGCTCAGGGGCGGGGCTCGGGTCTGGGGCGGGGCCGGGGCCCCAGCTGTCGGACCTGACCCTCGCCCCGCCCTCCTGCCGGCCACTGGCTGTGTAATCACTTTAAGGCTTCGTTCCCAGTTTTCAGCTGAGCCTCAGCTTCTCACCTGTAAAGCAGGACTTTGGCCCCGCCCTGTAAGACAATTGTCTGAAATTAGGGGGCGGATTCGCAGAAGAGTGGGTGTCATCGACTGAGGCCTTTGGCAGAGAAGTGGACCTTCTGGTTCCGCCCAGATGGGCGAGGGGTCCTCAGAGGGAGTTTGCAACCCACAAGGATACAAAAGAAAAGTCGACCAATGTAAAACGCCGAAACACAACAACACAAACCAAAAACCTTTATCAAATACAGGATGGCAGAGGACTCAAGCTTCAAAGTGACGGATAAACTCTCTCACACCCGTTTAAAACTTCAACCTCAAAGAGGAAACCAAAATTAAAAAGCAAACCAGAAATTTGGGGCAAACAAATGCAACAACCCCACAAACGATTAAAATTCTTAATTGAGATGGGCCTCGTCAAAGTAATAAGAAAGGCACGAAGACCCCAGTAGATAAATGGGTGCAGACAATTCACCAAAGAAGTCAAATAATTAACAGGGAGGAAAAATCAAACTTCACTAGCAATCAAATTAAACAACAAAGCCAAGGGATTCAAACAGTAAGACCTCAGAAACCTTCTTTATGGCTTCCCAACCCACTTAGAATAAAAGTCAAATTCTTGATCTTGGAAGACAAAGTCCAGGAAGGTATGAGGGCCCTAAAGCATTCTCTGACGTCGGGCCCATTCCTTTCAGCCACACTCTGCTTTTTTCTGACCTTTAAACGCTGGATCTCCCACGTCTCGGCCTTCACAGCAATGTCCTCTTCGCTGCTGGTGTGCCTGAACCTTCTGACCCTCAGGCCTCAGATAAGTTACCTTCTCAGCACAGCCTACTGTCACCCTGTATACACTGGTGCTCCCTCCATGCTCTATCAGGTCATTCTGTTTCTTCATCACACTTCCCAGTTAATTTACTTGTTTTATTGCCCAAATCTTCCTGCCCCTAATCATCATCTCTAAGCCTGTTTTGCTCAACCCTCTCAGGGACCACCTCAGAGCCTACACTTAGTAGGTGCTTGTTATTAGTGGTTCAATAGAAGACGTTCAGTGACCTGACCCGGAAGCACACAGTGGGGAAGTGGGCGAACCAAAATGCAAACCCTAATGTGTCTGACTCCACAGGCCCAGCTGTCAGCCACCGCTGCTCTTCTGGCCCAAAGGGCTTGGCCATGGCCTGGTGGGTTTGGCAAGTCTAGGAGTCAGAATTTAAAAGTGTGAGTTAAGAGAGGAGTCAGATCGGGACCATCTGCCAGGCTGAACTAATATAGCCTCTCTCTGATCCGTTATGGTTGTTTCTTTCATTCAGCATGTCCAATAAAAAACAAACCCAGACTTAGAAGAGACTGTATTCTAAAGGATTAGGCAAGGGAGAACGGGGCTATTGCAACAGGGAGTATGCTCTGAGTCAAAGGTCTGCAAGCATCTCAAGAGTTAGGCAGAAAGTTTCTTTTACAGGGAGGAGAAAACAAGGCTAAAAAGAACCAGGTGTGGCCAAGTGGGAGGGAAGGGTGGCAGCACTGGATTACATCTGAGAATGTTCTACACGAAGCCAGCCTGTTCTCAACAGGGAGTGCGTGCTGGCCTGGGCTGAGGGTGGGCCAGAGTTCATTCAGGGGCCTGGGTAAAGGACCGAGGCTTAATACAAGTTTGGTGAACAAACATTTTGTTCTAGTTGATCAGTGGGAACAAGAGGCTCAGCTAACGACGATTTATGAGGCAAAGAAAGGGAATTTGGAAGGCCTGTGTCTGGCCTTGTAAACAAAGGGGGCACCTATGAGTCTTATTTAAGTAAGTCCCATGGAAAAGGAAGGGTGGTTCTTTTCAATAAGCCACTTTCCAGAACACAAAAGGGGAGGGCAGGGGTTTCCTTAATCTTCACTGTTTTCCAGGAGCGCAGCGGCTTGGGTAAAGTTCAACACTGTTGAGGGTACGTCTGTGGATTTCCTTCCATGTGTCAAGCCCTGGGGTACAGTGGCGGAAAGCTGGCCAGCCCTCACGGGGATTACATTTCTAGAGGGAAGATGGGCAAACACAAAGACATACACAGAAAAGTGCATTACAGATGATGCTAGATCTTCAAAAAATAACAACCAGGTCATGTCTGTTAACAAAAATTTTCCAGACTTCATAAAGGCAAAAGGATATGCTGTGTGTCCTTTCAGGGTCATACTGGAGCTTGGTTAGCAAGTCTACCCAAGAAAAATGGGATTCTCTGAGGCAGCGGTTCTCAAAGTGTAGGCTGGGGACCCTAAGGACCCCTGAGAACTTTGCATGGGGTCTGTAAGGTCAAAACTATTTTCATAGTGATGCCAACATTATTTTCCTTTTCCACTTCATTCTCTCCTGATGGACAATAATTTAGCTAACATCCTGAGTCCTTACTGGGTACCAGGAAACACAACACCCCATGAGGTAGGTATTATTATAATCCTTAGTTCACAGATGGAAAAACCGATTATAAGATAAATTGCCAATTCCCCCCCTCAATATCCATTCTAACCTTTTCGTTAGTAACAGAACCCCAATATTATTTGGGGCAGCAACATGCCAAGCTGAAACTCTATTTCCCAGCCTTCCTAGCAATGGGGTGTACCCATGTGAATAAGTTCCAGATAATGAAATGTAAGAGGAAAATGTTGGGTGGGACTTCTGAAAAAGCTTTTAAAAGGGGGACATCTGGGAAAGCTCTGTGAAATATGTGTGTCCTTTTTACCCTCCTCGGGCTGCCTGGAATAAAAATGTGATGGCTAGAGCACCTGCTGTCATCTTGGACCATGAGGCCACATTTGGAGGTGGAATCCATGTGCTAAGGATGGCAAAGCAGAAAGATGGAAGGTGTTTGAGAAAGAAAGAAATGTCCCCATTGTTTAAGAAGTTGTTAAAAAAAAAAAAAAGAAAAGAAAACTCTGTTACTAGCCATTAATGCAATTCCTAACTTATATATTAGATACTTAGGCACAGGGGTTAAGTTACTTGTCCAAAATGTCATCGCTAGTATGCACAAGAGGCAGGATACAACCTCAGACAGTGGCTTGTGAAGCCCAGGGTCTTACGAAAGCTTCTAAGCAGGGCTCTGTTTTGTTTTCTCTCCTGGCCCAGCCCGGCTAGGAGGCCCATGAGCCTGGTCAACAGTCCCCTCAGAAACATACCCTCGTTTTCTTCCTAGGCCCTTCGCAGGGCTGCCTGAGATGCAGTTCCTCAGGTCCAGGTGAGGTCAGATGGGATGTGTTCGAGCTACATGGCTTGTCCACGTGGGGATGCAGTGAGAAGGTGGCTGTCTGCAAGCCAGTAAGAGGGCCCTCCCCAGACCCTCAATCCTGATGGACTTGATCTTGGACTTCCAGGCCCCAGAACTGTGAGAAATAAGTGCCTGTTGTGAAAACCCTCCAGTCTGCAGTATTGTGGGTGCGCGGCCCGAGCTGACCAATACCTTATCCCTGGGAGGTCAGAAGATGGGAGGGAGCAGGTGGGAGAGAGAGATGCCTGGCTTTCACTAGATGTTTCGAAACTCCAGTGGGCAGACGGCAGAGAGTTCTACTGGCAAAACCCTTAGCATTTCTTAAGCCACAACTTCTTATTTTATAGAGAGGAATTTAAGACTCAGAGACACAGGGGACTTTGCTGAGGGTGCTTAGCGGCAGCCTTGGGGCACAATAGAAGGCGAATTTAGTCCCAAGCTAGCTCTGCATTTACCAGCTGAGCAGCCCTGATCGAGTCCCATCAGCCTTTGGGAGCTTGGTCCCTTCTTCTACCGTGTTCCCTCTGCCTGGGATGACCATACATTCCTTCTGCCTGGAACAATTCCAGTTTATGCCTCTGTCTCAGCACAATTATTATTCACACCCCTTCCCTTTTCATAGTGTTGGGACACACCCTCTACCTCTCTCTGTGGCAGTTTGCAATGCATGTGTTCCCCACTCACCCCCTGGCAGACATTGCTAGTTCATCACAGAGGCCCAGATAGCTGTCAGACTTCTGCAGGGAGTATCCAAAATAGCCATGACCAATCGACCAATAGTATCAGGGGTGGTGAAAATGATCTGCAATCCCTACTCTGTGGAATCTAGTAGTCTTGATCTGGTTTCTTCAGTTGTGGATCCTTTAGTAACTCAGGAAAATCCACTGGTCATTGGGGCCCAGTCTCCTATGTATAAAATAGAAAAAATAAAACCTACTAGCTTCTTCCACATGTTGGAAAGTCATTGTTAGAAATGAAGCCCTCGGAAGATGCATGACTGAGTGTTACAGCTCATAGCTCCCAAGACATTGCCAACTTTAAGAATTCACTGGAGAGTGGTAGGAAAAAAGAGGCTTAGGAAATACATTGCATTTGGCACGGCAAAAAACATCATTAAAAAATTAAAGGGCATAGGACAAACTGGGTAAAAATATTTGCCAGCTTTGATATGTTCATTTTCTTAATATATAAAGGCATTCAGATCTCAATAAGAAAAAACCCAAACACTCCCTAGAAAAATTGCCAAAT